ACCCCAAAAACAAAGACCTTGCGCTAATAAACTAAACATATAGAATATGTCTGAATTTGTATAACATTTGAAAAGCAGCAGCAACAACAACTAAAAGCAGAACAACAATTGGAGCCGAGAAGAAATAACAGCAATTAAAGTCATACAAATTAAAGCAAAATCAAAGCGTAAACTCATTTAACCTTCAGACATGCAATCACAACAAACACGTGACCATGAATAATATTGTAGTTATGTATGTTGTTCTCAGTAGCAGATAAACGAGGCAAAACAAAGTTGGAATGTAATAAAAGAAAAGCTACTCGAGAAAATGATAAAATTGACAGCTAACGGTCAAATAATGCAATTACACCAACATTAAGTTGAAAACATGTGATGAAGAGCGAGGGATGTGTGAATGGCAACAATTTGCTGTAACGGCATTTAATTGGCATGTTAGCTAACAGAACCTAACACTGTTGTTAACAGTTTCGCTGCATTGGGGCAAACGAGACAATTGCAGTAATTTTAATTATTTGTCGCAATGACCTTGACCGACAGCGAGAACTGCTGTGAGCGCGTAATGAGCAATCAGAATACTCAATCATAATAATAAAGTTGCTCATAAAAATAGCAAACCGCACGCTAAATTAAATGGCAAACAAACCAAAACACACACACACACACACATTTGAATTCATTTATTCATTTTGTGGTGATTTCGCTCACATTTTATTTTAGATTTATTTTTATTGTTGTTTTAGTGGCGATATCAACAAACAGAACACAGCACAGACTGCGTGGCAGGCAAAAGTCGTAAAACATAAAGCAGGCAAGAGCTGACAGCAAAAAAAAAGAAAAAGAAAAAGCAACAGCTAAAGCGAACATGCTTGCAAGAAGAAGAAAATAAGTTGCTCGCGTGGGCGTTGGCAGCGCTGCTCGCGTGTGTCCGCCACCAGACATATTGCATGTAAACGTACTCTCTCAACAAAAGAGAAGCAGAGTGGGCGGCGAGCACGAGAGCAAGAATGGAGTGTGAGAGCTTTTTAAGTTGATTAAAAGTGCGGCAAAGGCTCTGCGCTCTGTAATTGTGTCAACTAGCGCGCGAACGTGTGCGTCTCTGTGTGTGTGTGCGAATGAGTGGGCATGGAATGGAAATGTGTGTCACGCCTTCACAGGCATGCAAAACAATTGAGAAAGCTCCATCTGTGTGTTCTTGACTAGCAAATACCCCCTGAATTCAGGTGTGAATTAATTAAAAATGTGTTACAGGGTTAAAATCTTGTGTTTGTCCACGATTCTTTTCGATTTTTTGTGTGGGCATATCTAATAAAAAATATGCTTTCCGACAGAAATTTAACAGTTTCTGTAAAGTTTTCAAGTTTATCATAGTATATATAACATGCCTAAAATATTGATAAATTGCAACAATGTTTTCAAATACCCAAACAAAAAGTTTTTTAAGTATAATTAGGTTCATGTTAGTTTTCATTGATTCTGTTTCATTATAGATTCTGTTTATAGTTAAAAACTTGGAATGTCAAGTTCTGTTCTAACCTCTCTTTTTTACTAGTACAGGGTATAAGAGACACTCGACATGCATACATCGATAGCTTAAGCCTTTGCTGATGGTGATATTCTATTGTATTTGTTTGCAGACGTGTGTTTAATAAGTATAATTATATATATACGTGTTTGTTTCAGTTCCCAAAAGCTGAAACTAATAGTAAAAGCAATTTTCTGAAATTCGAAGTATACCGATAAATAACCCTATTTAGAATGTGTATTAACCCAGTTTTTAATTAATTTATAATTGAACTGATAAGCATTAAGTAAAACTGGGAAATTCACGCGTGAGTTTCTTAAAACTAAAAATAATATTCATTTTTTGCGAGCATTTAATTCTTAAACTTGAAGTAGATTCAGCATAGTGTGTTTTTATACCCTGAACCCATTAAAAATGGGTATAAGGTATTTGTGCGAAAGCCAAATGTATTTAACAGGCAGAAGGAAGCATCTCCGACCCCATAAAGTATATATATTCTTGATCAGCATCAATAGCCGAGTCGATCTAGCCATGTCCGTCTGTCTGTCCGTCCGTCCGTCCGTATGTATGAACGCAAGCATCTCAGAACCTATAAGAGCTAGAGAGCTAGAGACTTGAAATTTCAAGATGTAGATGCTCCTAGTTTCCGCGCAGATCGAGTTTGTTTCCGATAATCGATAACCTTCTATATCGATATCGATATCCTGTTTTTTGGGCAATTTTGGTAAATAATAAGAGCTAGAGTCACCAAACTTGACATATAGCTTCTAAAATAGAATATATACATATATGCATTTGATGTTGGAAGAAGAGGTTTCAGGGTATCCCCTAGTCGGGAGCTCCCGACTAGAACCTCGTACTTGTTTATTTATAATAATATAATAGTTTGATGTTAATTTCATTGCAATGCAAGTTTACAAATAGGTGCAAATTCGTCTCTACTGGCGTCGCTCAACGGGGCGTATGCGTAATTCTCCTCTCATAGAGGTACACAGGCCATACAAAAGATGCCCAAGTTTGAACCAAACCACAAAATATAGACCAAGCTCTTGTTAGACAATTGAATGGGGCAATTTTGGAATGGGGATAGGGATGGGGATGAGGATGGGGGTGGGGATGGGGATGAGGATGGGGATGGGGATGGGGATGGGGATGGGGATGGGGATGAGGATGGGAATGGGAATGGAAGATTGCAGTCTGCTCTTTGATTATGATTTGAATATTGTTTTTGTTGTTGTTGTTGTTCTTGTCCTCAATGTTTGAGCATTTACCACAATGCATGTGCCCATAGAGAGAAACTCAATTGTTCATTGCGCTGTTAATGTGTGTGCGATATATGTAAGTTGTATGTATATTATATATTATTTACATATGTAGCTAGTTTTACAAGGGACTGTCTCTCGGCAGACATTGACAATGCCAATTGGCAATGAAAATTGGTAGACGTTGAAATAGATGATGTTAATAAATGTTGATTAATATTGATGTACAGAAGTGCCTTCTCCTACATGGAAAAATACATTGTATATGATTAGCTATGCAGATGCACACTAGACATACATATTTACATCTGAGTGTGCGACAGATGCCAGACGAGAGCTAATTACATGCTTAGTGCATATATGTACATAAGTCTACTTCATTATCTTTTGATAAACTTGATGTCAATGCCACACAAGAAGCTGATGATCTATTTATGGCTTATATCAATAAATAAACTAATGTGTAATTTATCTTTCATAAATCAAAGCTATCTTTAACCTATTGCTGCTTATTGATTTAAGTTACTTAAAATGATTGTTCAAGCGGATTCTTTGGATATTAAGCCAAACAGATAAACACACACATACACACGCACACACACGCACACATATCCGTGCACCAGACATATGGTTAAGATAAACGGCAAACGGCGTCTGGGCTGGCCAGGGAGACAGTTAACCACCCGAACAGGATGAGTGTAGGTCGATCGGGAGTATAGAAGGGGGGAAGGGGAAGGGGAAGGGGGTTGGCGCAGCTGCCACATGCCGTGCAGTGGTCGCCTGTTGTCATGGATTGTCATGGCAACAGACGCAGATACATTCGCACAGGATATTTAGATATACGTACTTATATACATATATATGTAGATACTGGGCGACAGACACGTGCATGAATAACGCACATTGAGATACATATATAAAGATACATAGCTGTGTTTATGTGGAAGTGCATAAACATGCATGTAATGTGTGACAGATTAGTTGCCAGACAGGATTGTGCTGGGTTTGAGATACTCAACCGGGCTGTGTTTCAATCTGTGTGTACACACACACACACACACACACACACACATACCTGCACAAAAGGCCATTCGATTTAATGTGGCGCTTGTCTAGCCAAAATGTTTCAACGTCCAAACCGAGCGCTTTAAAAACGCTTGAATGACCCAAAGCTTTAATTAAACCCATTCCGGAAAATTGCCAAGGGTTGTTATTGATTTTTCCGCAGCATTTTCGCGCACACAAACAGCCCCACTCCCCCTCCCACAAAACACAAAATTTAAATAACTGTGGAAAGCTGTTGTCGACGTTTTGGCTATGCTAATGAAGTCCCATTGTCGCTCTTTGTGGGCCACGCCCACTCACATAAGGGCAGAGCAGCCAAAGCGCACGGGAATTAATTCACATTTAACAGAAGATTTAAAAAAAAAAAGAAAAGAAGTTGAAACGTGCCTCGCATTATAAATTAGCATAATAAATACAAAGAATGAGCGACCGATAAATAATAAAAATTAAATCGCTAAAAAAGGTGTTTTATGTGATGCACATAAAAAACCGACTGAAATTTAAAAAAAACTGGAAACTCAATAAACTACGTCATTTTTTCGTGGGGATACGCAATTTTTCAGTTTAAGAACTTTACAGACTTTATGAACATTCCAAAAAAACGAATTTTGCAAATGTTGGTAACAATTTTTGGTTTATTCATCAGAAATAAATGGTATCTAGTATATTTTGTAAATTTGTTGATCCTCATTTAAAAGTTATTGGAGCAAATTAAACACAAGTATTCGAATTGTGTGGCAAATTATGTAACTTTAAGGAATGCTGTAAGAATGCGATTTCAGTTTCCCGAAAACTTTGGTAATGCATGGGCAATGTGTATATCTTATAAACCGCTCATGATAACTGATTAAATTAGTAATGTAGCATTATATACTATAGTTATTTAAATAGTTTAGTGCTTTACTCTCAGATTAATTCGCACTTATTTATTGATATTAGATACGTATTCTGAGAACACAACATTGTCGCATTTTTAATCAGCTTCTAAGTTTTGAAGCACGCTCATAATCAGCATCTCGAGTTGGTTTTCTCTTGTTTCTTAATTAATTCGATTTTCATTATTTATGTTATATTTAATGCATTTTCAAGCCTTGTTTATTTATGTTCTACCATTTCTCTGTTTTTCTCTTTTTTCTTGCAGACCCTCCCCAAAAAAAACCAAAACAATAAAACTAAATCACAAAAAAACAGTTTTCTCAAAAGCTGATATCTCAATCACATACGTCGCATACGTCGTTTTGCAACACTGAGCGACGCGCGCGCGCATTATGCGTAACGTTAATAGGCAAAGCGCGCGTGCCGTGGAACGCAGTGAATCGAAACGCAATTGCTGCTGGACTGCGCGACGATGAAATGAAACGCATGCAGCTGCAGCAACAGCGACAGCAACAACAACAGCAACAACAACAACAACAACACCAGCATATGGCAGGCGAAAATGTTGTCGCACATTGAGGAAAATGCATCGTTTTCTTAACATACAGCAAAATATAAAATTACGCAACTATCATCAGTTACTTTTATATTTTGTTGCTGTTCCATTGGCTGCCACTGCTGCTGGAGGAAGACGACGAAGAGGAGGCAGAGACGACGGAGATCGAGACATATTTGTGGGTGGGAAGAGCAGCAGCAGCAGCAGCAGCAGCAGCAGCAGAAGCAGAAGCAGAAGCAGAAGCAGAAACAGTAGCAATCATAACGTAACGATCGTAACGTAACATAACGTGACGCACACAGAAGCAAGTAGTAGACGATAGTTTGTTCTCTTATTGTTTAGCCCAATACACACGTACACACACTTTACCCAACGCTGCCACTGTTCCTAAGACAACAACAACAAACAAACAACCTATCACATCGTAATCGTAGTTTTAACGCAACCATTAAGTAAACGAAACGTAACGTAACGCGAGACGCCTCAACATTAGCTCCTATGCCAACGTTTTTGATCATCAGCATCGCCATCATCAGCATCGATATTATTATCATTATGCATATGACACAAGATATATGAACGCCCATGCTCATCATACATCTGACACTGCAAGCAACTGCAACAGTTAAATCGTTAACAAGAATTGACAACAACATTTGCGAAGCATAAAACAACAACGTGACGTTGTTTTAGTGTTTCGTTACCCATTGACCTTTTGCCGCACAGCTGGCAAGGGTAAAATATGGCAACACCGCAAGTCAAAGACTTGGTGTTGCGCTCGCCAGCTGGCTCCTCCGATACCATCACATTTGCCTGGCCACTGCAGATTGGACATGGACAGGATAAGCATGACAATGGCATCGATATCATCGACACAATTAAATTCGTATGCGATGAGCTGCCATCAATTTCATCCGCATTCGAGGAGATTAACCTCAATCACATTGACACTGCCTGCTATAAGACTATGACAAATCTTGTCGATCGCTTCAACAAGGCTGTCGACAGTATTGTTGCATTGGTAAGTACCATTTATCAACTCAACTGCAAATTTAGACAACAAACATTAACATAATGAATCACATTTTGGTAAAGTTGTTGCTTAAGCTCGAACCGATTCGAAGGTTTTGTTAGGAAGCATCTTTATTCTGGCAAAGCCAGTTCGTAAACTAATCAATTCGAGAGAATCCCTTTACGTTTTTTACAAAAGTAATACGTAACCTATTTAAAGCGAAACAAAATTCTTTCCGATTTCCATTGCTCAACTTTGCTTCAAGAACTTTAAACGACAGTTAAAATGTGAGAATTAAAAGCATATTCAAATAAATAACTTCAAATAAAATTCTATTTCTTCTAACCGAAATTGAAATGTTTATTTCAAAAGAAGAGTATTTAATTTTCATTTGTTCCGTTTGAAACAATCGATTCGATCGAACTCTCAGCTTTATTGGCATTCTAAACTGTTGTTGATCGAGCTAATTATTAAAATTGATTATCACAGGAAAAAGGAACTTCACTGCCCGCCGAGCGCTTGAATAAGTTCGCTCACCCTAGCCTTTTAAGACACATACTGCAATTAGTTTACAATGCTGCCGTACTCGATCCGGACAAACTCAATCAGTACGAGCCCTTCTCGCCGGAGGTGTACGGAGAGACGTCGTACGAGCTGGTACAGCAAATGCTCAAACATGTCACCGTTAGCAAGGAGGACACGTTCATTGATCTCGGTTCCGGTGTGGGACAGGTGGTACTACAAATGGCCGGCTCGTTTCCGCTCAAGACATGCATTGGCATCGAGAAGGCGGACACGCCCGCTCGCTATGCGGAACGTATGGATCAGATCTTTCGACAGTACATGAGCTGGTTCGGCAAACGCTACTGCGAGTACAAGCTGATCAAGGGCGACTTTCTGGTGGACGAGCATCGCGAGAAGATCACCTCCTCGACGCTGGTGTTTGTCAATAACTTTGCCTTTGGTCCGACCGTCGATCATCAGCTGAAGGAGCGATTTGCCGATTTGCGAGATGGCGCTCGAGTTGTGTCATCCAAATCGTTCTGTCCACTCAACTTTCGTATTACAGATCGGTGAGTAATACATTGACATATATTTTTGGAACAATGTGTTTGATCTGATAATATCTGCCCATTACAGAAATCTTAGCGACATTGGCACGATTATGCATGTGAGCGAAATACCGCCACTGAAGGGCTCCGTTTCATGGACCTGCAAACCGGTTTCATATTATTTGCATGTGATCGATCGCACTATTTTGGAGCGATATTTTCAGCGCCTGAAAACCAAGGGCGGTGATCATGAGCATGTGGGTAAGTAATTGGGGGCTGGGCGGGGCAGAGATGTTAATGTATACAGCACACGTTCAATCACAAATCAGTTTTGAATATCAATCATGATCAAATCAAATCAAATCAGTCAGTCAGTCATAAATCAGAACATGTTCAATCACAATCAGTCACGATCAGTCATTATTGATGACTATTCTAAGTTTCCGTTTGATCTTCAGTTGAAACAATCTCAAATAGTTAGGTCTATAAATATATTGCCCGATCTAAGTATGAAGCTAAGCTATTTGTAACACTGAAATTTATAGGTTTAATTTGAACTAAGGCTAAAGGAACCTAGCAATAATTTTAAGTTTTGGGCCTTGTTTAAGTATATATGTAGGTATAATAATATTTAAGAACATTTTCTTAAAATTAAGAAAGTTGATCTTATTTTTTGTTGTTGACTTTTCACTTTAACTTTATTGTTCGGTTCCTTAATTGACCCTTTTAAAATATTTATTAGTAAATAATTATCTTTAAATTTCAAAACAAACTTTTGTTTATGATAGATTTCTGTTTTAAACTTCATTTAAAAACAGAATAAATTTGTGGGAGATTATAAAATTGTGCTGTATTAAGCAGTGCTCTCATAGCCATGGGATTTACTAGAAATTTATAGTAATTTGTTGGCATTTGGAGATTATCTAAATGTTGCTAATGCCTTTTTCTTTCGCAATATCTTTCAGGTACCGTGCGCACCACACGAGATCGCGCCAAACGTGAGGCCAACATTGGCCATCAAAACAACAATCACAATAACAACAACAATCACAACAACAACCATCAGCGGGAGCAGCGGGAACAGCAGCGAGAGCGGGAAAGGGATCTGTTCAACGGCCCCGCCCAGCAGCGCAATCAATCGCAGTCGCCGGCGAATGTCAGCGGCGGCGGTGGATTAGCCGCCTCCAAGACGCGCCAACAGCTGGCAAGTGCGCAGCAGCAGCAACAACAGCAGCAGCAGCAACAGATGCAGCAACGCAGCCTGGACATGGACAGCAGTACGGAGAGCGACGGTGAGGGTGAGGCGACCAATGGCAATGGCGGCAACACCACCACGGCCACCACGTCTACGTCGAATGGGCCAATGACGCGCAAGGTGTGGTCGGACTGGTGCAGCTCCAAGGGCAAGAGTTCGCAGTCGGATGACGAGGAGAACAACAATAGCAATAGCAACAACAGCAACAGCCACCACGGTCGCGGCCCACGCGCCATCACCACGCTGAAGAAGCGAAAGAAGCTAACGCGCAAAGCGGCTATTGCCAGCAAATCGGCGGCGGCCGCACAGCGCGAAGCGGAAGAGGCAGCGGCTGTGGCTGCAGTTGCTGCATCCGCCACGTCTGCGTCGGCCAGCAAGGATTCCAGCAGCAAGGAGGATCAGCCGCGTGCGGCGAGCGCTGGACCCGGACGCAAGGGCCGCTTGAAGAAGGGACAACGTGGACGCAAGTGCTTAAAGATTGCCGGCCTCGATGTGCTGCACAAGCAGACGGTGCTGAGCACCTCGCTGGATGCGATGACAAAGAAGCTGCCCGCAGCGCCGGGCACAGTTGACCAGCAGCTGACGTCGCTGCTCACCGGCGACATGTCGCATCGCGAACTGGACATACCCACAGCGCCCCAGGATACGCCCTATGCCCTGCAAATACTGCTCGATGTGTTCCGCTCCCAGTATATGACCATGATTGAGCACATGCGCTCGAGCGCGTATCTGCCGCAGGTGCAGAAGCAAATTGCCCAGGAACAGGAGCGTATGGCTCGCCTTAAAAATCGGGCCAATCAGCTGGACAAGCAGATCAAGGTGCTGATCGATGACAGCGTAACCCTGCTGAAGGTGCGCATGAATGAGCTGGGCATCAATGTGAACTCGCCCAACGATCTGATTGCCCAGGCCAAGGAGATTGTCGGACGGCACAAGGATCTGCAGCATGCGGTCAGCAAGATGCGCAACGAGGTAACCGTCTACGAAAGCGAACAGAAATTGCTGCTGAGCAAGCAGCTGAAGCATCTGCCCGAATACCAGAAGCTCTGTGCCGTCGCCAACGGCGGCAATGGCAAGGTGAAGCTCGAGCTGCCGCACGAGCTGTCCGAAACTGCGGCCCAGGAGCTGGTGCTCAAGGAGATAGCCAATACGCTGAGCCAGCGCAAGAAGCTCTATGCGCAGGTCTCCACCATCGAACAGGAAACCAGCTCGCTGCAAAAGTCCGCCGAGGAGCGCAGCACAGCCACCGTGCTGCTTGCCCAGGGCACCAACATCAGCCTGGCTAGTGGCGCCCCAACAGTTGCAACAAGTGCCGCAACGACTCCGACGCTGGCCAATTGTAACAAATTGGTAAATAGCAAATCGTCGCGTCGCAGTCGCGAGCATCGCGCACGCTCGCAGGAATGGCCCGAGGTGCCGGAGGTGGGCAAGATACAGGAGAGCAATCCCGAGGTGCTGGCCCAAAAGATACTCGAGACCTGTCGCCAGGTCGAGGCGGGCAAATTCCAGCCGCCTCCAAGCACCATCAGTGCCGTCAACTTTATCAACGGCCAAAAGCCCAAAATGGAGTCGAAGACGACGCCGGCGCTCTACAAGGACAGCACTCTGATGCCGGCGCCCAAGCAACAATCGCAGCCACAACAACAACAACAACAACAACAACAGCAAGCTGTGCTGTTGCCCAAGTGCGAGCTGCCGGGACTGGGTCGTAAGCAGGAATCACCCAAGGTGGCCAACTTTGAGGATAGGCTGAAGAGCATCATAACATCAGCCCTAAATGAGGATCAGGAGCAGCGCAGCAAGGCAATGCCCATTATGGAGACGCCCGCTGTGCCGCTGCAATCGCCCGTCTCGAAGCGCAGCAAGCAAATGGGCCAAACAACAGCAGCAACCGGCAACAGCTTGCACAACATTATCACCGTATCGACGCAGGGCCTCATGCATTTGAATGCCAATACGACCATATCGCCTATAACGCCACCTTTGCCAGGTCCGCGTGCTGCAACAGCTGCGTCCACGGCGCCGCCGCCGCCCGCCAATTTGCCCTACGGCAGCGCCTACATGAGCAGCAAACAGCAGCAGCTGCAGCATTTGTCGGGCAAGTATGGCCAAACGGTGACGCTCAAGGAGTCCAAGTATTCGCCAGCCAGACCAGGTGCATCAGCACCGCCGCCGCCGCCACCACCGCCGCCGTCGTCCTCGTCCGCGTCGTCGTCATCGTCAGCAGCGCATATGGCCACGCTTTATGCTGGGCACGGCTCAACAGCGGCGACAGCACCCACAGCCGCTGATCTGGGCTTCCATCGGCGGCGTGCCTCGGTGAGCGCCAACAGCTACGAGCATTTTATGGTGCAACAACAGCAGCAGCAGCAACATGCGCTCATGTTGGCCCATGTGGCACAACAGCGACTGCAGCATCAGCAGCAGCAGCAGCAACAGCAGCAACAACAACAGCAGCAGCAACAACAGCAACAGCAGCAACAACATGCACAACACGCGCCAATTGGGCACCTTCATCATCATCATCAGGCAGCGGGCACATCAGCTGAGTTTAAGGCGCCAGCAGAGAATCTGCTGCAGCGCTCCGGCAGTCGCGAACAACTTTCAGAGCAACAGCAGCAGCAACAGCAACAGCAACATCAACAATTGCAACAGCAACACCAACAGCCACAACAACAACAACAACAACACAGCCTGGATCTACTGCCGCGTGCCAGCTCGGCCAACTCGGACTATGCTGGTTACCGCGTGGAACGTCTGTCTGTTCGACCGCCCAGTCGGCCCAGCTCCAACTCCTCGCAGCCAGACTACACACAGGTGTCGCCAGCAAAAATGGCGCTGCGTCGTCATCTCTCGCAAGAGAAGCTCAGTCAGCCGCCGCAGCCGTTGCCCACGCCACCGCCCATGTCGCTGGCGCCGCCGGTGACAGCCGGCAAGACCATCGGTGATCTGGTCAATGGCGAGATCGAGCGCACGCTGGAAATCTCACATCAGAGCATCATCAACGCGGCGGTCAACATGAGCACCGGCAGCGCCAGCAGCAGCAGCAGTGCGCATTTCATGGAACGCGCCTTCCTGGCCGAGCGCACCAATGACCGTCTGCTCATTAATCTGAATGCCCAACGGCCGGAGCGTGTGCACGTTCGACCCCTGGGCGAGGATGCGCCGGACCCGCAGCCGACGAACTACAGCCAGGCGGCATCCAGCACCAACAACAATCTGGCCACCTTGGCCCACGTTGCCTACGCCCACAAATCGCAGCCGGGCGCACGTGCCTCCTCGTCCTCTCGTTCTGGACGGGACTACCAGCCGGTGACATTGCCGCGCGCGGAAATGATGGGCTGCATCGAGGCCTACTTCCACGAGGAGCAGCAGCAGCAGCAGCAGCAGCAACAACAACAGCAACATCAGAAATCAAAGAACACAGTCGGTGGTGCCAACGCGCTGCGGGCACCACGATTGAATGGCGCCAATCCGCCTTTAGAAGGTAAGTGCCAAATAGTAATAGTAAAAGTAGTTTCCTAGTTAAAATTAACAAACTTGCCGATCAAAGTAACATTAAATAAGGTATAAGTTATACGCTAGTTATTCAAATATGTGCTCCAATATGAACATACGTATATCAGGAATGCACATTTTAAAAACTATTCTATATTAAAAATTATATTTATAATTAACGGAAGCATATATTGCAATGAAGAAGGGCATGTTCTAGTTAGTTTTGAATAGGTGAGATAAGCCTGGGTGATTCCTGGGAGGCTCTTGACAAAGAACTCAAAATCCCTATTGGTTATAAAACTTTCCTCTTAGTCAAAACCTTTACCTTTACCTTTGCTTTACCTCAACCCAGAGATTGGCCTACTTCTTGCCTCTCTTCAGTCCTATGTAGGGAAGGTCAGGGTGTAAAATTTCAATCAGTAATTCTTAAATTCCCCCCACTGGCCTCTTAGTTCGATATGTATATGTAATATTTTATCATTCAAGCAAAATATAGGACAAGCGTTAAGTCTAAGTAAAATTTATCAAAAGTAGTAGAAGAAGAAGTAGAAGATGACATTGATAAATCAATTATCAATTATAATAACCGAATGCTCTTAAACAAATTAAATGTGTTTATTTTAATCATTAAGTATAAAATGGTTTTTAGCCATCTCATTTGATTTTCCTATTTACAAAAGCAAATTCTCGAAATACTCAAAAATATTTTATGTATATAAAAACTGAATTATTATATTTTCAGTTGAATTCCATTTATATATATTTATTATATATAAACAATACTATATTATAATACTATAAAAAAAAAAAAAAACATAAAGTAATAAAAATAACCAATTTATGTATAAATCTAAAAAATGTAGAAAGAAGACTGAAAATGATGACATCAATATGTATTAGAAGTAATCGAACTAGAAGTAATCGAACTAGATGTACTCGTACTCGAACTATACATACTGTACAACTAAATGCCAAACAACGATACTGAGTGGATATACCTTTCCGTATTACACTGTTTGACAATTTACCAAATATTTTTGTGGCGCCATCTTTTGTCCACAAATATTTATTGTTGTTACTCCCGAAGTGATCCCAATGTTGGATTGAATCCGTACCGTAGATGGCGCCACATTACCAAAACATTTCTATTTGCATTGCTAATAAGTTTTGTCAATTTGTTACAGGACTAGCCGCCTCGCTGCAGGATCATGTGCGAGCACGCAAATACAAGGAGGAGAACGAGGAGCGACAACGACGCGCTGCAGCCGCTTCTTCATCATCATCATTGGAACTGGCGCCGCATTACGCTCATCAGGCGCCGCCCGCCCATAGCTACCATCAGCCGCAGCAGCAGCCGCATCATCACACAGCCGCCGGCATTATCAATGGCACGCCGCACAAAGTGGAGCGTAAGCTATAGTAACACTTGAATTTCCTGCGTGACATGTACTCATGCGCATTTTCTCTATTTGCAGTGGGCGTGAAGCGTAGCTCGCCGCTGGCGCCGCACCAGCAGCCGTCGCGACCCGCCAAATTGGCGCATTTCGATCAGCAGCCGCTTGCCCATGCGCATCAGCATCTGTACGTGAATAGCAATGGCGTGTCGGGTCTGCCGCCGCCAGCACATGATGCCACGACGCCGTCGCCGACGCCGTCATCCTCATCCTCGTCATGTGGCAGGCGCAGCAAATTGCTTGTGGAGCCGCCGCTGCTGATGAGTCCCGAGATCAACTCGCTGATGGGCGATGAGCGGCCGCTGCAGCTGTCGACGAGTCATCAGCAGCTCTACCACCATCAGCAGAAACCACATCAGCAGCAGTTGCGTGGCTCGCATCAAAGCGGTCACAGCATCACGCCCACCATTGTGGGCGGACAGCGCTCCAATGCCGCCGATGACGGTAAGCCATTCGTATGCCAAGATTTAGTTACAACACACACACGCGCATTTCATGCACCACATGCACCACATGCACCACTTGCACCACCAGCACATGCACAATGTCATCAGTTGCACCACTATCAGACACGCCTTGCCACCCAATGGGTGGCACAAGATCTTACCACAAAGAACAGACGGTCAACCGTCTCCGCTTCGTCGGATGATGACTCTGATACCGAAAGCGTCTCATCCTCGAGCTCCTCTTCCACTTCCAGCTCAAGCGGCAGTAGCTAATGCAATACCATCTGCCTGATTACACGCACATTTTACACACATTTTATACACTTTACATCTTTTTTTAAATTAATGCAATTAGTTTTAAATATATACAGAAAAAGAGAAATTTGCGGCCATTTAAAGGTTTTTATTTGATTCATGTTGTGTGTTGTTCGTAGTTTGCTTTATGTCTCTTTTATTTTTATTTTCTGTGTATGCTTTGTATTTTGCACTTTCAATTTGTAGTTTGACTATTTTCTTCTTGTACATCTATTTTTTTATTGCTTTCGTTAAGCATTCAATTAACATGAAAATTACTGTTAACGAATCAATTAACATTAGTTAACATTTGCTGCGTAACAGAGTCTGTAAATATTAAAAGCGTTCGTCAAACGCACGTCAAAAGTGAACATAATATCCGAACATGAAAAAACCTAAACATATTCTATTAAAATACAAATTTTAATTATTTTAACTCGCGCACATGATAATAATTCGCTTTTCATCCTAGAAACGAGCGATAGAGCTAAAAAAGATCGTTGATTAATGTTTGCTTCGCATTCTATAAAAGCCTCAAACCTAAGACAATATACAAATATTTTTGTTCATTTTCATTATTTTTGTTTTTTTACCAAAAATATTTACTAACTCATTGCGTCTCTTTTAATGATGAATAAATATAGTGTTAAACTTATCAATACTCATAAATCAACATGACAATCCTGGAATATGTTAATATTACCATAATTTATGAACTAGATATTGAATTCTTATTGTTCAAACACGGAATAAATAAAACTAAAAACCAAAGAAACCAAAGAAAACCAAGAAGAAGCGCAAGGATATGTATATGAATGTAATGAAACTTTACTTGACTTTTGTGAAATTTACCTTTCTTACATCTACGATCTTAAAGATACGGTTATTTCCTCGCTAATTAACAAATGAAACATAAAAAATAACGTTTTCTACAAGCCCGTCGATCGATAAACATAAAAGAATAAAAACACATAAAAGAAAAACTGCCGAAAACATGCAACATTTTAAGCTAATCCTCATTAAACTGGTCACGTCATGCCAAACATCTCATTCAATTCATAAAAAAATAAATATACACCTGACACACACACACACATACACAAAACGCTCTCTGTATAAAAAGACATAAATCAAAATCAATCAATTTTTTTTTTCACTTGGATATTAACAATCTTCTCTGGAATGTTATATATACATTTTTTTTTTTTTCATAAATAATTTTCAAATATTTACTAAAAAATAATATCGAACAATGGACAAAATTAATCAATAAAATCAAAAAGCAAGCGCCCCTTTACTTATCCAAAACTCGACTTTATATCCCTTCTATTATGCTCTACTCCCATACAGTTACCGATTCGGCAAAGCATCGTACTATAACTAATTACGATCCCAGACGTCGACTTCGCACCCCGACTTCGACTTTGTCTGGCGCCACGAAACAAACTGCTACCAATTGTAATACTCATAACAATGGATTTGTTGTGGCCGATAGTAGTAGTACCAATAATAATAATAATTATAATGATGATAATGATAATAACAACCATTGATTACCTCAAAAATTCTCAAAACCAAACCCAACAATCATTCAAAACAAAAGAAAAAAAAAAAATCAAAATCAGCACGAAAATCCCGAAAATATGCCAAAACGTAAAACGTAAATGTTGTTGTTGAAGAGCAGAGTACAAAAACCACATTTAATAATATAATTAAAAAACAAACAACTTGACACATATAAAAAGACAAAACATAATTATTTTACGTTCAATAATTTAATCTAACCGAATTTAAAACAAATTTATCTAGTATGTATATTAAATATACACATTTATAAAATTAAAACATGAGCATGAGGTAAGTTCTGTTGCGCCTAATTGGTTTATTTCTCTATTTATTTTTTAAATTTTTATTTACATATTATTTTTCATTTTATTTATGATTTTCCTGATATATTCTGCAACGCTCTAATTTTTAATCTTCACACACACATGCACACACGCCGCAAGCCATAGCTAAACACACTCATACACACACGCACACACACACACACACACACGCCATTTAGCATATATTTGAGTCACTGTACAAAATGTTCAGGGCTTAGCCACACATCGCGTTATCGTTATCGTTATCGTCATCGCCACTGTTATCGAACCCACACCAGCCTAGCACTCACACACACACACACACCAGCAACACCCGCAGCAGCAGCAGCTCCTGCTCCTGCTGTAGCTGCCGCTGCTTTCACTTAACCGATTCAATGGCTTGTATTTATATCTAATCTATTGCTTATGTCTTTCCATGGCAGACGATGTTATTGCGGCCGACGAAGAGTCCCACTGGCAGCATCGGGTCAGCTCCGGCTTTGATCGGCTGGTGGCCTTTGCCAGCACTGAGCTGGACAAGACGAGGCGCTCCATTGATGGCGACACGGTGCCCGCCTCCATAAGCTGCAACACCTCGCCGGACTCGGGCATCACGCACAGCAGCAGCAACTCGGATGCGGTGCGTACATTTTTGTCCACCTCGTCCAGTTCATCGCAGCTGGAGCTGCCCATTAACAACAGCAGCAGCAGTAGCAGCAGCAATAACAGCAGCAGTCTCTATGCCAGCCAGGTGCACAATCTGAGCCATCATCCGTATCAGCATGGCCATCAGCAGTTGCAGCAGCAGCAGCAGCTGCCACTGCAACAACAACAGCAGCAGCAGGCACAGCAACAACATCCTCAGCAGCAGCAGCAGCAGCAGCAGCAGCACTTGGCAGATCATTTGAGCGATAGCAGCATGAAGTCTACGGCCTCCTCATCGCTGCACGCGAGCAGCTCGCTGAAGACCGTTTCGCCGGTGGACTCGGGCGCCATTGAGTCGCCGCCGCTGTCTGATGTGGGTCTGCCACGCACGCCCAGTCCCAGTGCCGCCAGCGTGGCCACTCCCCCGCTGGCCCATGCGCCGTCGCCTGTCAACGAGCTGCGCATACCGCTCAAATATCAGCGCAAGTCGAAGAGCGGCTCCGAGAAGCACTACAAGAAGAAGTTCTGTGAGCGCAACTGGGAGTACGACTGCGACGAGCTGTTGGCCTACTCCAACTCCAGTGCACCGCCGACAGCAGCCGATGCAGCGGGCAATGGTCCGCCGGCATTAGATGTGGCCGGCGGCGTGTCAGCAACGCCGACAGTGGGCCTGTGCAAATCGGGCAAATCGCCCAAGGAGAAATCGTCGCCGCATCATGGCGCCAATAGCAATGCGAATGCGAACGCCAGCTTTCACCATCATCACAAGTCGTCCAAGTTTCGGCCCAAGGGCAAGGACTGGGACTGGTCGCTGGACAGCAGAAGCAACACGGGCGAGCCGACGGCAAATGGAGCCGGCGGTGGCGCGAATACAACGAGTAATTAATTTAAATTAATTTAGTTAAATTGCCGAACAGAATGAATATCGTACGAGGAGAATTGGGAAAAGGAGAACGAAAATGAAAATGAAAATGGGAAAATCTAAACGCAAATGAAAAAATTGCAATGTTTTTTTCTTGCTTAATGTTCAATTTTTTTTTTTGGAAAATCATATGTAAATCGATTCGAATGGAGTTGATTGTAACTTTTTAATCTGTAACTAAATGAATTGTGTTTATTTGTAGTTAACTTATTGTATAGCAGCGATTTTTGCCTTGTTTTCTATTATGTCTCTGTATGTTTATTTCCGTGAATTGTAATTAGGTTAGTGTAGCATATTTTAACTGAACATGTGTGTTAGATCTTAAGGCACCAAACCATCAAGAAACGCAATCGCAACAACAGCAACAAAGCCCCAATTACTGATCAACAATGTTACTGACTTCATTATTACCAAGTTTACTATTATTATCATTACTATGATTATGATTATTAATCCTTAAATGTATTTTATTTTGTATTGTTTAATTGATTTGTGTTCGTTTTAAGTTGTGTGTTTTGTCCTTTTCTGTGGAATTGTGTTTTTTATGATTTTTAAATAAATTTTAAACTAATTACAAACTTCTCCTGTGTATATTGGCTACCTTTAATCATCAACATGATTTATATATATATATATATATCCAGATTGATCTGTTGCCAGCTTAGTTACAATTTCTCGTGCTGGGACCAACAAGCTTCAGTAATCGATCCGTTCCTGTTCAGAAGATAAATGTCAAAATTGTCAACGTCGCTTCCAAAATCAAATTACAATCTAAAGATATGCAAAATTAATAAGCAAATATTCAAAATGCAATAAAACGCTTGTCAATAAACAAATATTTAGGCATTCGAAAATATTGATAAATGCACGTTGATACTTTTTTTTTTCTTTTTCCCATTCTGATTACTATACGAGTATATAGTATATATATAAATAAAACTTTTTGGTGTACTTTAATGTAAAAACAAGGCGTTTCTGCGGCCGCCTTGCTCAAAATTACCGAGATATGACACATTAATGATAAACTAAACCAATATAGAATCCGATTTGGCGCAACATTAGCATCAACAAGAAGCAGAATAAAGCAGGCAGCAGAACAACAAGTAACCTTATTAATTAAAGAATTTTCCACCTCAGCGAAATAACAACAATTTTATATATATTATATACATAAATAATAATATAGCAGTAGCGGCATATACAATATATATATATATATATATATATATATATATATACATAGATCTATATACATAAAGCATATGTGTGTGGCCATTCCGGGGGCAGGTTCATTGTCAAATCTCAGAGTGAGGGCGATGAAAGTGAAAGTGAAAATTGTAACGGAATCGGTTCGATAATAACAGCAAAAACAACAGCAGTCAAATATCAGGAAACAAATTAAACAGTAAACAAACGGAAAAAAAAACATGATTTACAAGCATTTAACAACAAATAATAAATATTTAGTAACATACATATATAAAATATATACGTAAAACATATTTAACAAATAGTCTTTTATATGTTCATGAGCAACAGCAAATGCATAACATTAATTTAAACAAACAAATAAATAAATAATAAAACAATAAGGCCCCTAGCAATTTAAATGGATTTTCAAATGTGCTATTAGCGTAGTGTAATATTAAAACATTTAAAAACAAATTAAGACAATGGCGCATAAATGATTTTTATACGTATATATATATTAATGTATATATATATATGAATTATAATTATATTTACCATCATATACAGAGTCGAAGGGCGAAGATAACAAAAACTTATTATAATAATAATTTTTATTAACAATGTTCGGCAGCCCCGACAACATGAATCAGTTGTAGCAAATGGAATATTATCTGGCGCTATTTAAATGTAATGTAAAATGCATATAAAACAAAATAGTTGAATTTACATAAAACAAATTAACATACAAGTATTAAACTAAAGAGTAAGTAAACAAAACTAATTAATAACGACAACAAGTAAATGAACATAATATAAATGAACCACAAGCACATGCATATTATAATTAACGGTATTATTATGTATATTTAAAAATATATTTATTGCATATTAATATTATTATTTTAAACTTAAAAGTTTAATAAAAAATAACATTATAAAACATCAATTCTTGGCCTTTTTATGCACATATCTCAATCAATCAATTAAAATGAAATTATATGGCAATATTGAGATCTCAGCTTTCCCGGGTAGCTATGCATATAGAGTTGAATGATAAGCGCTGATTATAAATCATATATACGGCAATTAATAAAAAGGACAATTGATTGATTAACTGATTGACAAATTAGTCCAACATTTTGATTGATTGGCACCTATAGGCCCTAATTCTGTCAAGCAAAAGTGCACGTTTTTGTTTGTTCCATAGGTTTTTATTGACATTAATTGTTTTTTTTGTTTTGCATTAAAATATCTTATAAAAAGTACAGTTTGGTTCGTTTATCTTTATGTAACTATTGTATGTATGTATATTGGGGTTTTCGCTTGTTCCCGCTGAAATTTAATGTGTACGTACTTATATTCCTCAGGAGCTATTTCTGTTTAATTAAAGCGATAGCAGTTCGAAATGAGGATGTGCATATCCAGTTTACTTAAATACACATCGATATATGAGCGGAATATTGGTTTAGTTTAGATTTGAGTTGATAATGCTTAGGGCTGTGTTTGGGGGATCTGTGTATATCTCTATGGTTGAAAGGATCAACTTGCTGACTATCTTTTTACTTTGTTGAATCTGAGGTCTCTAGCAAATTCAATTGTTTCCCTAGTTCTAGCTTTGCGTTTTGTAAATGAGTGTATATTTTTATATAAGTATATATATATATATATATATATATATATATATATGTATACACCGCTAACTTTTCTCTTTTAATAATGCATTTGTATGGTTTTCTGTGTATATTATATGGTATATGCAAGTATATAATTGTTTTACAATAAAGCCTGAGGCACATTTATGAATTATTTTTTACATTTTTACTTTTGACTTTTTTGATTTTCACAATTTATACGTGGATAACGCAAGGATGCTCTGGGTGTGTGTATTTATAAATTTTACTTTGTTTTACAAACAAATTTACGTAAATTTGTAGCAGAGAAAAGAATTTGTTTTTCATTTAAATGAAATGTTAAAGCTAAATTTTGTTTTAAGTTGTAGAAACCTAAACAGTAGTTGCATAAACAGGTTAGGGTGTTGGGGTGTTGGGAATTAAGCATACCAATAACACTAGGATTATGGATAATAGAACGTGAATTACAGCGGTACATGGAAAATTAAACCTAGAGAACTTGACACAATAGGAGAGTTACTGCTCCTATTATGCGTTATCATTTAAAACAAAACACTTTCAATAACAAACAAACACTTAATGCTAATTAAAGACCATTTAATATGGTTTAGTGATAGAAAATATAACAATTTGTTTGAATAGAAGATAGAAATTACATAGAACTTAATTAATAAATTGTTTATAAAATCGAAAAAAGGGTCGACCAATTTTATACATATGCTTAAGCTATCAACGACACCTGATAGCTTGATAAAGTTACAAATGTGATTTGATAACAAATTCTACATAAATACGTTACGTTACGTAACTTTACACACACAGTTAAACACTTGAACTTGATAATTGTTTCAATTGAACGCTTGCCGTTTGTTCAGGCCCTCATAATTTGTTAGCTTAAAACTAATGTGTATGTATAGTTTGGGCTCTTATCGGGATGGGAAATCATCCCAACACCTGAAGGGATCATTTAAAATGTTACATTCTTTTATCTGTTGTGTATATATATGTTTTTAAAACCGCTGCACGTTGAATTCATTCAGACTTTAAGTTCGTTTCATTTGTAAGGTTCTCTACTATATGGTATATGTAATTCTGTTTTATCGTTTTGTGTATAAAGTTCTCATTTCAAATCGAGAGTCAACATTAAAAACTATTCAACTAGAGAAAATTGCAAACATTTTCCACATCCACTTTATAACAAGATGCCATTTTTTGAGTACATGCACATATACTTACAAATACTACATACATACAAACATAAATATATGCACGCACATTCTCATAACAAAGTCCTGAAGGATACTTGGTTCAGGATGCTTGCAATGACATTCAAAAACAAATCCCCTTCTTGACATTGAAATTTAAATAAATTGCCATTTTGGCAAAGTTGAAACCAATTGGAGTTTAGCGTTAAGAATTTGTATATAGTATGGGCATGTCTGGAGTCTTTCGCTGGAGAATGTCGAAGAGAAAGCTCGTCACAGGGAAACATCAATTATCGCACAACAATTATACAAGATTAGTACGCGTAAAACAGGTAACGACTACGTTATGGTTGTCCATTCCGATTGTGATTACAACTTTATAGAGACATACAGACAGACAGAGAGAGACAGAAAGAGTGAGAGAGATTTATAACTTATCCACATGCTCCAACAGACTGGCCATGACCAACTCTTCTGGCTGCGCCTCGCTCGAAATCTCTGCCTGCTTTTGAGCTTTCTCTTCGTGCAAATTCTACAAGCTATCAAGTATATCAGCAGCACCAATTATGGCATCCACATCGCTGCTATTGGGCGCACCGTCGTCAATCAACGTATCAGTGCTGAGGGACAAGACGGCATCTGTGGTGCTGCCGACTCCAAAGGCCGCAACAGCCGGCGACGACAGGCTGTCAATCGTATTGCCGTTGATTAGAAAGTCTCGGTATAGCTCAACGGGACTGAAGCGAAAGCACGGCGTCGTAATTGGCGTCGTTGGCATTGATTTGGATATATCCAGAACATTTCGGGAACTGTACGACTGCCCGCAGTAGGCCACATTGTTGGCGCCCCAATTGAAGGCTGGTGAGATGTTGAAATGGCCACTGGCGGCATTGCAGCTGCCGTTGGTGGTGCCGAGACTGTTGCAGCCCTGGATCTGCGATTGCTGATGCGGCAGCGGTGTGGAGGGCACAGAGCGCGACACAATGCCGCCTGCACTACCGGCACTGCTGTAACCACTCGAAGAACCCGCCGAGGAGCTGCAAGTAGTTGTCGTTTGTATGCCACTGAACTTGTTAAAGCTTGGCGAAATGAGCGCACTGACATCCACTTCATCGTAGAGCAGACTTGTCGATACATCCACATCGCCGCCACCCAGTTTAAGAGCGCCCACCGACTGCTGACTGTTACTGTTCTCCGAGAAGAGCGCCTCGTTCACTGGGCCAGCGGTGACGGCCTGATTCGTCTGTCGATTGTAGCCTGCTGAGGGGGAGTGGTGGCTGCTGCGCTGCAGCTGGGATAGCGGCACCGATTGCGAACGTTGCGTTTCGTTTAGCTCCATATTGGCACCGCTTAGCGCCAGGCTCGTTTCCAAATCCATTGAGTTTTGATTAACTAGCAGCTCCACATTGTTGCTGTTGTTATTTATGCTGCTCTCGCTGAAGTGGTTGCTGCTGCACACCCAATTGACGCCCATGCACTGCTGCAGCAGCGAGGGACTTGGCGGCGCCGAGGCGGAACTGCTGCTGGGGTAGCTGTAAACATAGCTGCGTCTGCGCCTATGCGCCCCAATCATGGGATCCCCGTTTCCGTTGTTGTTGTCAAAGTCAAGCGATTGCTGTTTGGTTAACAGGCTGGAACGCTGGCGCATGGTTGTTTGAACCGGACTTGCAAAGCAGCTCTGCGTGGGCAGCTTACCAGTTGTTGCTGTAACTGATGTTGTTGTTGCTGCAGCTGTTGCTGCCACATTGCTGTTGCTGTTACTGTTGCTGCTGATGTTTGGGGAAATGGGCAGAAAAATGCAGTTCTTGTTGTTGCCGTTGCTGGACGCGTTGCTTAGACTAATTTTGCGCTTGTTGCTGTTGTTGTTGTTGTTGCTGGTGGCTCGCTGCTGTTGTTGTTGCTGCTGCTGCTGTTGTTGTTGTTGTTGTTGTTGATGTTGCTGCTGCTGTCGTTGTTGATGCTTTCGTGACATTAGTGCCAGAGACGCTGAGGCAGAACCCACAACATTTGCTGTCGCTGCTGCAGTTGGCAAAGGCATTGAGCGACGCATTTGCAGCTGCAGCAACTGTTGTTGCTGCTGCTGTTGTTGTTGCTGTTGCACCGCTGTTGTTGATGTCGCGGTTGCCGTTGCTGGTCTTGCAGTTGCTATTGCCAGTGCACTTGTTATGGCAATAGCTGATGCAGGTTGTGGATTTCTGTGTTGTTCTGCTTGAGCATCTAAGGAATTCAGTTGTTTTTCCTCAGCGTCTCCCATCTGAAAATATTGAAGCAACTCGGTATCAGGGCCCTCGGAGTTCTCCTCCTCATCATCACCGGGCATTAAATAATCATCAAGCTCATGCTTATCCATATTGCATATGCTAATGACGCGCTCACGTGGCAATCCTAGATTCTCAGCCAGCCCAGAGTCCTCTCCAGTGGCGGCCAATGTCGCCGCATTCTCTGCTATCAAGCGTTTGGCCCGCAACAACATCATATTGCGCGATGCTACTTTCGGCGTGCTAATGTTCGTGTCCAGACTGCTTGACGGGCTCACCGAACTGGGGTTATTTAATTGCGCCGGTGGGCCCATTGATAGCGCGGTATGGATGGGTGAGTTGCCAGCAGGTGGCTGCGTGGATGGCGGTGGTGTCGCTGCCGTTGTGGTAATCACTGGAGGTACAAGCAACGTGCCGCCGCTTGCGCTGCCGCTGCTGGGAGAGTTGGCCCAAAAGCCTTTGGTCTGCTGCGCCTTTAGGACTTTCTTGCAAAATATATTGGTGGTATTGTACTCTTCGGCCTCGTCCTTAATGACCAGCCCAGGGGGGGATAACGGCTGCTGTCCTGCAGCCTCCGCTTGCAGCTCCAATAGCTTGGGTGTTAGGTTGCGGACAACATTGCTGCGCGGCTCTGTAGCCAGATTCATGGGCAAAACTTGCTGCTGCTGTTGCTGTGCTGTCAAATAGCTACCGGGTGAGTCTGTAATCTCCTGCTTGATCTTTAGTAATAGCTCCGTTTTGTGTTCATCGCTGACTGCTTCCTGACTGCTACCCGCATCTTGTGAGGCATTCGGTTGATTGCAGCTCGATTCGGAGGATGTGGACCCTTTGCGTTTCTTTTTGCGACGCTTCTTCAGCGGTCCCATGTCCTGTCACGGATTGAAACAACAGGTTAAATACAATAAGATTATTATTATTTAAATAAACTTACTGCAAGAAGACGCTTCTCTTTCGGTTCCCTGGGCGTATATTTTTTGGGCACCAGTCCGGCACTAATTGTTGCATTGTTACTTTTGATACGTGTGGCCAGCTCTGTGACGCTCTCCAGTTTGGTGTTAAGCAGCTTTTCCGCCCAGGTGCGTACCACATCCCAACTACCGTCATTATCTGCCGCTGCACCTTGTACGCTAGCTGCGGCACTAGGTGATCGATTAAAAACTGTTGCATTGGCTTCCGCGGCGACAGTGTCGTCAATTGGCTCATCCTTGCATAGTTGCGGCAACTGTGGGGGCGTCAGTTTGGTTGTCTTTCGCATCGCCGCATAGCAGTAGCGCGAGTTGCCACGCGTGCCTAGACGCCGCGGTCGGACGCCGGGGAACACCTGCTTCATGACCTTACCAAAGTCTGCCGTTGACAGTGGCTTGATGCTCAGGCGTTCACAATAGGCTCTGAAAAGTGAGAAATATGTTCATCAAAGTTTCTTCTGTGAATTTTACAGTAGATGATAAGGCGAATATTTGGATCTGAGGCTTTCGAATCTCAAATGACTCTTCTATCGATTTCTTTACACATACAAAAAAAAGTAAATAAATAAATTCGATATTTCTTATTGGTTTGTGTGTATATGATACATCCATTATCGTATTCAAATGTGCACGATCTTCAACTCACATGTAATCATTGTAAACGTCCTGTTTTGGTATGGAAACCTGAGCATCGTGCTCAAGATGTGAGCGCACCCAATTGATGGTGTGATTAATCTCGGAACGTGTGCCCAGCGGATTCTGTGGTTGTCTCAATGGGTCAGTGTCCGCACTCTCGCCGGGCAAGCGCAAATACAAAAACAGTTTCTCAATGGGCTTTAGGCCAGCGACACTTTCTAGAATTTGCGCGATCTGCAGCTTAGCAGCATCACTTAATAGAAAATAATTAATTTTTGGGGAGCAGTGTGCATTGTCTAGTGGTTACTCACTCCAAACTAGCTTCAATCACCTGCTGCACGCGACGCATGCGCTCCTCGTCGCTAGTCAGTGCATTCATCACATTCTCCGTAATGGTGGAGTTGATGGCACCACTGGGTGCAACCGGCGGGACAGTTGATGAGCTGCCTTCGCTGGGATGTGGATGGGGAGGATGTGGATGTGGAGGTTGTGGATGCCTTGGTATAGCTGCTGCTCCAAGCGTTGCTGTTGACGAAGAGGCGTTCACATTCATTGCATGCATTATCTTTCCCAGTTCCAATTGTTGGGCGCTGTTAAAGGCATTGACAAACGCAAGCCCGGCATTGCCAGCGGCGGCTGCTGCAAAGGGATTCGGCGTAAGCACAGATGTCGCACCACTGGCTGCAGAGCCAGAGGAATTTACATTTGCAAACGCTGGCGGCACAAAGCCGCCACTGGGAACAGGTACATTTGTGGGCGTGGGCGACACCTGGGACTGGGCGAGAGTCTGTGGAGGACCAACAATGGGCGCAATGGTCAGTGGCGACGATTTGATCGTTTGCATGTGAATGGGCGGAGCTTGGAACCGTCCTGACGTATAGGTGGGAATGTCCGGAATCGGAACAGGCACGCCACATATACCATAAGCATTTGTGGCAACTGTCGCGGTTGTTTCGTATATGGAATTGGAATTTGGATTAGATTGCAGATGCTTCTGCAGTGACGTCGATGCTGTTGTGCCACCCACTGCCGCTGCCGCTGCTGCTGATTTCGCCGTCCACTGCGCACCACTAAGCTGGCCATGCTTCTCGGACATGTTAGGTGGAGGGCTGGCTTACAACACGCGAACCACCGCAAGCCACCAGCCAGCAGCAACCTCAATGTGTTGCTCCTGAGGACACTTTGCCTTTTGCACGTCACTTCTTGTTAGATTGCGTGTTGTTTTTGTTTTCCGATAGCTATAAATTCACTAAATGTATGCTGACGCGTGCTTTAGGAGATGAAGATTGCGAAGTCGATAACTGGCGCGACGAACATTTTGGAGACGACGGAAGACACGGATGTTAACGCAAGATAATAAACCATTTTGGCTGTGACAATTGCATGGGTAACGCAAGTGTAAGGCTAACGTACGCCTTCTACGCCAGATGAGAATTTATATTATGATTGTTGCAATTTCAATATGCAGGCTATTTTCTAATAAGATTACAAAATATATTGGAATAATCCATTTTTCGCGGAGATAAGGGCTCCTTTCCTTCTGCGTCTCGAAAAATACACACAGTATGTGACCAGATTTGGCAACAGTTGAATGCACCAATAAATACCACATTATTTCAATTGTAAACACGGCGCTGCATTTCGATAACTATTCCTTTAAATCTAGGTAAATAGTTTCAAAATATAGTTTTAGAATTATTCAAATCAAGGGTGAGGTTGCAATTAATCGTGAATTTAATTTAGTTATTAAAAAAAATATATAACTTTGCTTAGATAAATATACGCAAACTTTATGAGCCGGTATTTTTTTGGTATCTTGATTTTAGTATTTTTAAGTAGTCTTATGCTGCGCACTTCCAACCAAAAAAATAATGGCGATAATTACGAGCAATATTTTAATAACAAAAATTGATTTAAGTTGATTTGATCAGCAGTAAGTTCTTACTAAGATGATGTAGCACCATTGTTTTCCATTCTCATTAATTGTTATCAATTTTGGATACTTCCAGTGTTATCGATAACGATTGTGTCATTGTAATCGCTACTCAGAAAAAATGGCGATTTCCTAAGAAGACAGACGCTTTACCTTTACACAACACAGACAAAATTTTAACACTAAAATACTGTTCTACCGCAATTAAACAAAATATGCGCGCTGAACTTGGACCAAACACTTGCCGCGTGTGCTTAGAGCCTAGTCAGCGCTTACAACGGATTGATGAATCTCGCGAGGAGGGTGAGGAGACCCCTAATGAAATGCTTATACAGCTGCTGGGCATTTCATTCAGTAAGGTTAGTATAAATCATTTTAAAATGACATGCATATAGCAAATGTTGATGAACATTCCCGCCTTTCAGCTAAATGGCAAAGAGCAGATTCCTGATGGAATTTGCAAGCCTTGCAAGGTGGAGCTCAACATGGCTTTCCAGTTTCGCGAGAAGGCACTGCGCAAGCAAGCCGAAATCGAAGAATATTGTCGTGAGCTGGGCCTCTTGGACGAAGCCGAAGATTACATTGTCAAGGAAGAGTTTGGGGCACAACATCACCCACAAGTTGAAGATGACGAAATGAATGATTTTGTGATGAACGATAACCAAAGTCCGGGCGAGGCTGATGTTGATGATAATGTTCAGAGCGATGAATTCTTAGAAGTCGATGGCTCCCATGAGCAGCAGGAAGTCATAACGGATGACATTGAGTATTTGGAGGACAACTATACCATAGAAATGAATCCCGAGCACGACGAAGTGGTACTTGAAACTAAATATGATGACACGGTAACACATAGTGACATTAAAATGAGGCGTGGTCGCACACGTCTTGGCATGAATATAGTAAAGTCCGAGCATGAAGAATTACAGCATTCGTATGGCATATCAGCTGGATTAGTTGATATAAAACCTAGACGTGGAAGGGCCCGGCCAGGCCTCAATTCGCTGCGCACTTCGGATGGCACGGAAAAGGGCGGCTACGTCTGCGATGTTTGTGGAAATTTCTATGAGAAGCGCGGTCGCATGATGGAGCATCGTCGACGTCACGACGCTGTTTGTCAATACCAGTGCGAGTAAGTCATGGATTGTAAATCCATCAAATCATAAACTTATAATTTTTTCTTTAAATTCCTTACTGCAGACTGTGCGATGCCAAGTTCCAGGTCCGCGAACAGCTGCGCAAACACATGTACTCCCACACAGGTAGCAAACCATTCAAGTGCAGTTTCTGCAGTCGTCAGTTCTTCTACGAGAGCGTGCTAAAATCTCACGAAAAGTATGTGGCTGCTGTTAAATATTTTGAAATTTGCTAACCTCACTAAATGTCTTCTATTCATCCTTAAGCGTGCATCGCGGCATCAAGCCATATGTGTGCAAGGTATGCGACAAGGCTTTTGCCTACGCACATTCTCTGACTAAGCACGAGCTGATACACTCGGACATCAAGCTGTACCGCTGCGATTACTGCCAAAAGGATTTCCGCCTGCTTCATCACATGCGCCAGCACGAGGAGACCAAATGTCATCAGAATGCAGTTATGCTAGCCGAAACATTAAAGTATGATCGTGAGGAGCAGGACGTCGAGCTGCTGGCTGTGGACGAGCTAAAGGATGTAAAGCTGCGACTATCGCAGCAACATTTGCTTTCTTAGATACATTTGCATTATTAACAATGGACACCACAGCGTATTGGAGGTCTGTGTTTTATTTTTAAGTAGGTTCTAAATTTAATCCCATATTAAAATGATTTAACAACATATGCGCGTTATACATTTTGATTAGTTGGTTAGTAAGCATGCTAGTAAAGGCGTATAGGATGTATAAAAAGATTTGTAAATGTATGTACAATAATCATGTATATTGTAGAATTCGAATTGAGTTAGGTAAAACCATTTTCCGTTTCCGTGTTTACCTTTGGCTTGAATTGAGTTTACTTGGCTATGATGTACAATACTATTATATTTCATCAGCTTTGGTAAACCTTTTTGGTTATTCAATAGACGGGCAAAGCTTGAGCAATGTTGGTTAAAAAGAATCAGTTGTTGATTCATTTATCTCTTCACAACAGTTAAACAAAAGATTATAACAGACCAGTTAGCCCTTATCAAAATAACATTGTCGTATCTTTGGCAAGTTTGTCAGTAAATGACCATGTTTCCATTGTTTTCGTGAGGTCAGACATTATGAATTTTTTAATTATATATATTAAAACTATTTCGATAGTCAAGGCATTAATTATTAATTTTGGGCAAGACGTTCTCAAATTTATGTGTAATTATGAGTAATTATATATTTTAACAAAAACCAACAATATTTTAGTCCGCTATGTCCGTAAACTTGAATTTCAGAGGTATGTTAGGCACATTTATGAGCACGCTCTTGAATGCATTTTCGGTGGGATAATTGAACTCAACATTATAGTTTCGAATAAGCCGCGCGAGGCCCAGCTCCAATTCCATTTCGACAATTCGTTTGCCAATGCACATACGTGGACCAAATCCAAACGGCAAGTAGATAAATGGACTGCTCGCCTTAAGAGCGTGGGGGCATTTTCCATCTGACGTTTCTTCTTTACTTTGGCGTAGCCAACGCTCGGGCAAGAATTCTTTGCCTCTTGGATAATGTTGATCATCGGTGAGCAGTCCGGAGGACAACATCAGAACCTGTGTTTTGCTGGGAACCTGGTAGCCATTGAGCACAAGATCCGAATAGGTGACACGACCGTTACCCAATGTCAAGGGATAAAGACGCAGTGATTCCTTGATGCAGGCCCGTAAGTAGGGCACATTCTTCATAGAGGCTTCTGTGAACTCGGAGTCTTTGTTTGGTAAGATGCGGCGGACTTCCTCACGCAGTTTCGCTTGCTTTTCCGGATTTTTGGCAAGACAGAGGAGTGCACCAGTAAAAGCGGTAGTTGTCTGCGAAGAAGAGATAAATTTTAATGGGATATATTAAGCTATTCACTAACGATCCACGCTACTTACCGTATCCACGCCGGCCATTAGCATGTCTATGGCCATGACAATGGCGATCTGTTTATTGGTTTTTAAGAGTTTCTCAAGTACACTCTGCTCGTGCTCTGGCTTGTTGGATGGCTCGCGTTCTAGACGCTCCACAGCCTCGTTAACAAAGCCAACTGTTATTTCCTGGATATCGTCAAGGGCTTTGATGAGCTTCTTGAATTTGGGCGTCGCTACGTAACGCCAAATCGAAGGCTTCATTTCAAGATCACCCGACAACTCAAAGAAAAGATTGAGAACGTTGAACAGTTTCTTGGCCTGTGGATTATCGCGATTCGCATTCATCAGACCTAATTGTTTATCCAAAGCTACCACCGAAACGGATTCTAGAGTCCAGCGATTGATTTCCTCCTCAAAAGTGTCGGGAACCTCAAATGTATTGCTATCGCGTATATCTCGTATGCTAATTGAGGTCAAGAATATAAAAAGGAATCATTTTAAATAAAATAACAAATTAGTAGGGCTAGCTTACCGCTGAATGAACTCCTTGTTAACGTCTGACATTTTTTGATAGTACAGGCGCACAGTTTTCGGTTGCATCATTACTGGATTAACACTAAAGCGGAATTTTGCCCAGTCCTCTCCTTGTCTGTAAGACCCAATAATTGTTGTTTATAGCAAAGTTTTCTTATCATTCAATTTGATAAGTGTTCCATACGTTGATAATATTCCTGCAACGCCTTTGTAAAATTCCTTGCGAGCCTCAGTTCGATGATAGTGCAATACATGATTTCCAGGACGCTCTGGCCAGGGTCCTTCAGCGCGTAGAACTTGCTCGAAATGATGCGGATCGTTGGAGACCAGAAACTCATTTCTGCCCAAGACTGGCAATCTGAAAAGGGGACCATGCTGGCGACGCATGTCCAACATAATATCCGAAAATTGCATCTTGCTGTACCTGCCTCCGGGCATTAAATTGTACATAAAGTGGATCAGGGACACCTTCGGTATCTCATTGTATGGGCGCGCCTGATCCCAGCCCGCAGGTCTTGTTATGGATGGTTCGTTTTCCGATACATTTACAGCGCTGCTCGCTGCACTTGTTTGCAGGCGCTGAACAATAATAAAATTGTTAACATTGATTAGATAAATACATTTATAATTATAATCATATAATATGTATAGAACAGCAATTCATGGTTACTTCCACAAACCTTTTGTATCGGTATAATCCGTACTAACTGCTGAACGTTTACTCTCTGCCCCAGCATTTGGCTGTCACGGTCAATTGAGAACTGAGCAACAAGTTTGTTCGTTTTGGAACTTATAGTTTCGCAGTAAGCTTTTTTAGTTGTTTATTGAGAGAGTGATAATGTCAAATAAATACGAGATAGCAATTTTTCGCATTTAAGCAAAGTCAAAAAAGCTTTGAGCAAAATTTATATGCCTTTTTCGAAGCTTTTCATTATTATGATTTATCGAGAATTCAATATATTATTAAACTAAAGTAATTCTTCTTATTAACTGCGTTAGATGCATAAAATGTACAGAGAGCATCTCGCATCTTAAAAAAGTGAGGCAAACTTGGTGTCGACTTTAAAGTTGGATTTATAGATTTTTTTAACGGTCTTGCGCCGAATGACTGGAGCTAACTGGTAAGTCAGATATTGAACTCAAGAGAGCCAATACCTCTCGGGAATGTGTTTCGTTAGGCGTACTTCTTTACCTTCATTGTCATCGACAACCGATACTTCGGAGTTCCCCGACAACCAATGTTACGATTCAGCTCTATCCCCGTCGCCCGTAATAACTCTTGGAGGAGCTAAGCAGACTTGAGGAAAGATTGTCTAAGCTATCTGTGTTCTTAAAATGATAATAAAGGCAAGCATACATATAAACATATTTAGTACTGTTAGCTCCTAAAATAAGTATGAATTTCCCACCTAAGGACTGAATTTGATGTAGGAGGAATTTCCATGCATGCATTACAACTTTTATTTTAATTTGAATAATTTAACAAATTTTAATAAAGTATTAATTATACAAATAAGTTTAAGTGAGAAAAACAATGCGCTCTTAAACGATTCGGCGCATTCTCCTGTTGCAAAGTATCGGACAAAATGGGTGCGATTTTTGTTGTGGTCATCAAATTAATTAACTTTTTGTGGAGCCCACAATAAAATTATTATTTAAAACAAATATAAAAGATTTAGTATATATATTTAATAGACTTTCGCAGTTTATTTATTTGCATATTGGTAGATATAAAATATTGTACGAATGGATATTTAAAACAAACACCAATGTTTTCCTTTACAAGCCGAATTAGACTTTCGATAGTTTTCAGCGGTTAATACGTATGATAAGTAAGTAATGTAGGTAAGTATAAATAGTTGCGTAGAATAATGACTTACAGTTACGAGTAAACTACAATTAATTAAAGTTTCACTGAAGACAGGGTTTTTACAAGACAATTTCCGCGTGTGGTTCGTTTGGCACGCTTGGGAAAATATGTTATGGGATTCGTATCGTTTATATCGTTTTTAGGGTAAATCATAATTATAATTCAGTAAAAATTATAATTCGATAATGCATAAAATGCTACGCATAGAATATGATTCTCTGGGAGCCTTAAGCCCAACATAGGTATATATCTAAACTACAACTCAAAGGACTAAAAGCCTATTATAATCTTGTATAATAAATACATATGAGATTATGCTAACTTGGGGCTACTCATGGGACGCATGCTGCTGATAGCTGCAAACAATTTTGGCGGCATCGTTCATCATTTTGGCCGTGGAGCGCACGAGGAACATCAGATGACACTCGTCGTAGACGGTCAGCTCGACGCGCGTGCGCACTAAGCCATGGAGCACTGTGGCGCGCTCCAGGTCCAGCCAGCGTTGTAGGGCGAGCTCACGTTCCTTGGTTGAGCCCACAAGCGCCACATCAGAGGGACCCCAGAGCACAAACTCCAGCACTGATTTGGCCTTGGAAAGCGATTCGGCGCGCTCCTGTTGCAAAATATCGGCCAGAATGGGTGTGATTTTTGTTGTGGGCAGCATGTCGGTCAAGGCGCCGTGGGCGCATTTGCAGAGCGTGCCCATGGGTTCCTCGTCGTCGTTGTTATTGCTGTAAATGTAAATGATCAGTATTAGTGGATGATAGAAGAGTTGATAAAATAGCTTCGTTTTGTACCCTTGCAAGACACAGAGTCGTGCCTGCGCATCCTTGTTATCCATGTCCTTGGACAGCACCACATTTGATAGACTTAGCGGCGTCTCTTCAATGGCCTTGGCCTGCAGATTTTTCATACCGTTGACCAGCTGCAGCATGATGAATGCCACCTCGCGCGTCATGACATCATCGAAGGCGGGCATGGCACTTGGCATGGGCGTACTCTCCTCACCATCGTTGGCCCCCGTGCTGCTAGGCGATGTTGATTCCTCGTTCAATGTGCTAAGGTTCTGTACGGAAACCACATTGCGTAGCGCATTGGCACCAGCCGCATCCTTCAGACTGTTCAGGTTCGGTATAGAGCCGCGGAAATTAAAGTTGCTCTTGTCCAGCACCTGAGACTTGCCCTTAAGTATGGCTCCAATCGATTGCAACGTCTCCAGCTGAAGTCTCGGCAGCACCGATATTGTGGCCTGCAGCAGCGACACCTCCGTTGTGGGCATCAGAGGCAACTGATAACTGGGTACCAGATCGCAAAACTCAGTTATGGGATTAAGTACATCGCAGACACCGCCCGTCAGTTGGCTCAGCTCGCCGCCAACGCCTGCCAGCTGGTTGCAGTCGGCCGATAGGGCCAAGGTCACAGGCGAAGTGGTCCACAGGGCCGCATGGAAGGCCTTCTTGCCCACCACAAACGCCTGAACCCCCTCCAAGATGGTAAAGTCCTCGTAACGCAAATTGATGGCATTGGCTAGCGGTCGCAGTGCCGCGGGCACAACTGGCGTTTGCTGCAGCTGTGAAAGGATTAGGGTTGATGTCTAGTGTGATGTGTGAGGTAGCTGAATAATATTGACTCACCTGATCGAGCACCTGGGCAAGTGCCTCATGATTGGCCACCACAACGGCTGTGTAGTTGTCCTCGATGGTTTTGTGCACGACACTGCGTCCTTTGCGCATGCGCAAACGATTCGTGGCCTTGCTGCGGTTCTTGTTGCCCTGAAAAGATTCGCAATAGGGAGTTAAGGAAGGAAGCAAGTTATTGGATTTGTTCAAATTCACCATTTGCATGCCCCAGACGCTGTCGTTGATGTCCGCGGCCACATCTCCACCAGCTTCGCTGCCGTAGTAGCTGTACGGTGCATATATGTCGAACTCGCCCGCCTCGCTGCCCGCATACGAGGCCGAGATGACGCGTGGAATGTTGGCTACAAAACGAATCAGTTAGGATCATGGCATAGTCTCTTATATTATTTTCGAACCCACCTAAGCTATTGTTCAGGCCATAATGCCGCACTGGACCGTACTCGCTGCGCGTGTAACTGGCTATGGAAGCCGTATCCGAGTAGATATTGTTGCGTCTGCCAGTCTGGCTGTTGAGTCGTTGTCCGGCCACAGCGGTCAAGTCGAGGTTGCTGTTGCGTGTTGGTGGCATCGGCGGCGTTGCTGTTGCCGCCGTTGCCGATCCCATGGCTGTCGTTGTCGATGTCGTTGTCGAGCTACTGTTGCCATTGCCCATTTTGACAAACTCGTACATGTTCTCATAGTCGCGCTTGTCCTTCAGATAGCTATCGATTGTGCTGTTAATCTTGCGCACCGAATCCTTCAGGCTGCTGCGCTGGCCGCTGTCAGTGGCATCGTGTGCGCCCTGGGAGCGCTGCTCAAAGATCTCCAGCTTGCTGGATATGGACATTTTGGTCTCGGCCTTTTTCGGCTGCCGCTCGAAGGTGCTGGTGCGGCTGCTGACAGTGCCTGTTCCCGCCGGCGGTTTGCCAGATTCGAATGGATTGGTACTGCACGCCTTGGACTGATCGGCCGTTACATTCTCACCGTTTGACGAGCAAATGGAGATAGTATCGGTAAGTATACCTCGTTTGCGGACCAGCTCCAGCTGCGCCTCACGCTCCCGCATGCTTGCCGTGCGCTCCGGCTTGCGTGGGGCTATCGAAGATCGTATTTCGCCTGTACATCAATAGAGAGAAATAGATTAGGGGTCTATAATGCTTGGCTGTTTGTATTTCAGCTGATATCCTATGCAAGTATATAGATATAATCAGTATAAGATATTATCTGACCAAGTTTCATGGCCAAAACAATGCCAAATGCCAGCCACAGCTGGGCATTTTTTTGTTTTATCTGTGTAACCTGCGACACTAATTGCGATTTTGACCCAAATTCGTGGCAAATTACAATTCGCATAATGGTGCCTAGTGGCCAAGATGTCTAACAAATAGGTCTTCCACAGCCAAACGCTGAGCTGATGAGCTCTGCGACGGCCCCTTCACCAGCTGCCACCAGTTGCCACCAATTGCCACCGACAGCCGACAGACAGACAGCCGACAGTTGGCAGCAGCAGCAGGTGTAACAAGTTCTCGCCACATTTGGCCTGACCACAAAATGTCAGCAAAGAAATGGGTCTTGGATTCTAACTCTTTCCCTGCCAGCGATTCTTGTTTCGCCAGTTTTCCAGCTGGCATTTGGAGCTGGCTCAGCAGTCGCATGTGGTTACCTCATTGGCTCTGGGCTCTGGTTTGTTTTTATTTCGATATTTTGTTGCTGTTGTTCATCTGTAAAACCACATTTTTACTACATAGCTCTGGCGCGACTTAACCCACTTTAATCTGGCTACCTGTCTGGCTTATGGCCATAAGAAGCGACGGCGGCTTCTGCGGACTGCCCGTTATATTGATTGAAATGCGTAACTCGTTTTGCTTTGGTTCTACTTTCAGCACCACTTCAATTTATGATCAGTTTTTGTTTTGGCTTCCACTTGGCCAAGTGGCACATTGGATGAAGAGACCCTTTAGATCCACATTCTGAAGGTCGCATGACTTTATGCCATGGCATTTGGGCGCTGGCAGCAAACGTGATCTGTTTGTGCTTTCTTTTGGAATTGGATCAACACCGCAATCACGATCGGAGAAAGACAGAGAGAGGAATAGAGAGAGAGAGAGAGAGATAGATGGATAGATACACCCACGCTAGGTACTCGACGGATTGATTATTTATGGAATTCGGGCGTCCCAGTTACCCACTTAGCTCATCTAATTGCACACTCACCTAAATTGGCATACACATTGTCCGCTTTGGATTTGATGGAGCCGCCGGCATTGGGATTGCCGGAAATCTTTGCGGAATCTATACTGCTGGCGCTAAGCGTTGCTGTCAGCTCCGTTTTCTGCTTGCGACGCAGCTCAGCGCTTTTGGGCGGCGGTGGGCGTGCCGGCTTATTGGCCTCATGACCGCGGTATCCCTCGCTGGCGCGCAGCGGTGGAGCTGGCGGCTTGGCGGTGACCACAGCCACCGTCTGGGCTGAGACAGCATCGCTTGTCTTCGTAATATCCTTGACAACCTCAACGGCCGTGGGATTAATGTCAATGGGATGTATGATGACGAGGCGCGGCTTGCCAGCTACACTGCCATCATCGCCGGTACATATCTCAGAGTAGACGCTGCTGTCCTTCTTGGATAGCTGCTCGCTGGACTTGTTGCCCCCGTTGCCGCCCATACGCAAAAACTTTTTGATCGAGAACTTTGATTTCTGCTTCTGTGGCGGCGAGGCAGTGGGTGACTTTGTGCTTTTGCCAGGCTGCTGCTCCGTCAAGCCAGCGGCTGCCAGGCACTCCTCGGACATGGACAGATGTCGCTGACTACGCGGCGTCGGCTCCGGCGTCAACGGCTGCTTGAGGTTCAGCACAGAGCTGGCGGATTGCATTTGCAGCTGCTTTGCCGCATTGGCGCGCTGCATCACAAAGGTGTTCAGACTGCGAAACTTTGGATTGATAACCGCCCGCTCCCGCTTGTCCTTTTCGCGTATGACGGGCGTGGCGGCCGCCACAGGTGGCTTTCTGGTATACAGATTGTTGCTGCTGTTGCTGCCAGCAACTGTTGCTGCTGCTGCTGTTGTTGCTGCTGTTGTTGCTGCTGTTGTTGCTGCTGTTGTTGCTGCTGCTGTTGCTGCTGTGTTTGTTGTTGTTGTGGCCGCGGCAGCAACAGTTTCTGTTGCTGCTGTGGCTGTACCTGCCGTTGCTGTAGGTAACGGCTCGCTGTCAACTAGTGTCTTTCCTGCTTTGGAAGCTGACGCCTCTGCCTTGGTTGCCTGTTCGAATTCAACTACCAAACTGTAATCGCGCTCCGGCGTAGGCGGCGCGCTTAGTTTGGGCTCCGGCGGCGGATTTGGCGCTTTGCCTTTCTTTAGCTTGGCATCATCTTTGGCTGACTCAGCCGCTGATGCTGCTGCTGATGCTGCTGCTGCTGCCGCCGCTGTTGACGCTGAAGCAGCTAATAGCAGATTCTCACTTGATTTGGAGATTGCTGTTTGCAGCTGGCTGATGAATTGCTGCTCGGCACTGCTGGGCGTCCGCTTGCTCATAAAGGTTTTCAACGGCGAGTTGTTGTTGTTATTGCTGTTGTTGTTGCCGATGCTGCTGCTAACGAGTGGCTTAGCTGGCAGCTCGGGCTTCTTCAGGCCGTGCAAGAAGGAAGATCGCGCATCGATTTTCATAGGTGGCGGTGGTGACTTGGGCAGCGCTGGCAGCTGTTGCGGCAACGCATCTGCCGCTGACTCCTGCTTCTGCTGCTGTTGCTGCTGATTTTGTTCGAGCTTGTTGTCCGGATCGGCGCTGCCGTCGGGCTCGCCGTGCAGCTCGCGACTCTTGACCGCCGCTTGGTTGCTAGACTGATCGCCAATTTGTATGTCCTCGTAGTCGGAGTTGTTGGTGCTGGCGCTGAGCTTCTTCTCCACCAGCGACCGCTGTTCATTGCCGCCTTTGACCGCAGTATTTGGCAGATTCTTATAGTCGCTGCCAATGCTGATGCCGATGCCCGAGTCGGATTCGCTGCGTATCATGTTGTAGGCGTTCTCCTCGTCGGAGCTGCCATCGAAGCTGCTGCCCGTGGAGTCGAGTGCGTCGTCCGAGCTGCATTTGGTGACAATCAGGCCGTCTGAGGTTATCTTGCTGGTCATAAAGTTGCCCTCGTGCAGATTATAGCTGGCGGCGCGCGTCTTCGAACTGAGCAGCATGTCCGTTATGTACTGCGAGCTGGAGTAGTGCGTGCTGCTAGCTTCCGGCTGGGCGCTGGCCACGTCCACCTGCTCACTGTACTTGCCATCGGGCAGATTCTCGTAGCTCAGCTGCGTTTCAACTACATCGTAGTAGGCGGAGACCCCATTTTCTGTGTCCGAGCAATTGCTGTCCGTGTCGGAGTATTTGTGGCACACGTTCACCTTGGGCTTCGTGTGATCCTTGGTTATGGGCGCATTACGCGCGATGGGCTTCTTAAGGTCAAGAAATGGCTTCGGTGAATCGCTAAGCGAGCCTAGTTCGAACTTGATTTTGTTATTGCTGCTGCTGCTGCTGCTGCTTGCAACTGTTGCTGTTGTGACTGATGTTGCTGCCGCTGCTGCAGCTGCCGCTGTGTTGATTTCGTTCTGCTTTTGCTTTTGCTTCTGCTGCAGCGTCTCTGAGATTTCATCTAGTAGAGACTTCTCCATCGCTCGCTCAATGGGTGGACTGTCCTTGCCATCGCGCGTGGATGCACCTGGCGTGCTCTTGGACAGCGTGGGTGTGAGTGTTGTGGTTACTTTCTTGGTGCAGGTGCTGGTTATGGTGCTATTGATTGTTGTGCCTGCTGATGTGACAGACTTGGCTGTTACTGTGCTGGAGGATGCTGCTGCCTTTGTTGTTGTTGTTGTTTGCGAAATCTCTGTTGATTTGCACGGCGTTGTTTTTGTCGCCTTTGTCGCTGTGGGCTGTCCAAAGGGCATCACATTGATCGTTAGCGTTTGTTTCTTGCCCTCCTTGTCAACCTGTGGTGCGCCCAGCTTAAGTGCCGCAAATGACTTCTTAATGTTATCCTGGGCATCGCCCAGCAAATTGCCATTGTTCATATTGAAATCCGTGTTGGCGCGAGTAATGCGTTTCAGCTCAACGGCTTCTTCGTCATCTGTTTCCGTGATGGCCATGTCATCGTGTTCATTGCCCAGATTCATAAAGTCATGATCATCATCATCGTCATCGTCATCTGACCACTCGCCGCCATAGCCAATGATCTCGTGCAGCTGCTTGGGAAAGCAAACTTTGCCTGACTTGGAGCTGCTGCTGCTAGACTTGGTGAAGCTGCTGCTGCTGCTGGTGGTCGTAGTGAGGCGCACGCCGAACGCCTTCTTAATAATGCTCTTGGCTGGCGTTCTGTGCTTGTTTGGGTAATCAGTCTTTGCTTGGCTATCTGACTTGAGAGCGCTTGGCTTGGTGCCCTGTTGTGCGGCAGCTGCGGCAGCAGCGGCTGCTTTGTGCTCATCCTTCGACTTGAAGCAGTTAGAGCATAGATCCTTTTTCCACGCATTCTGCGTAAAGTGCGAGCAGATCGACGACGACATTTTGTGTGTTGCTGTTGTGATTTTTAATGTTGCTGTTGCCGTTGCTGCTGTCCAACTTATTCCACCATATTCTGTAAATGAAAAGAAAATAATGTAACAATGAGTAATGCTTAATGCTTATTATTGTTGCTGTCATTATATTATTGTGTTATTATAGCATAAACCTAAAGGCTGATAAAAAACTTTCATTGCGCCAGCGATTGCGCAAGCCCTACCAGCAACTGTTGCTGCTGCTGCTGATGTTGCTGTTGCACTGCCCAGGCCAACAATCAACTTTCACTGCATAAATGCAGCTTCTGCGGCATGACTCAAAATTATTGAATGTAAATATAAGAGCAGCAACAGCAATAACAACAACAACAACTTCAATTCGCAACAGTCAAACTTGGCGATTTGCATTAGTCGTCCTCGCCTGCCCAAGCAGCCAAAACCAATTGGCCAACTGGCCATGCGGTCATTCAATGTCTTCACCAAGCAGTCAAACATTCATTTACCATGGCGACTATCAATCAATCTTCATCTTGATAATGAAATTATTGAAATTATTGCTGCTGCTGCTGCTGATGTTGCTGTTGTCGACATCGTTGTGGGTTTCTTGTTGCTGTGTCAGCTTGCCAATAAGGGAGGGAAGGGGGAAGGGGGAAGGGGGAAGGGGCACAGTGTTTGTCACATGGCCATCGACATAGACGTGTTTGCCCAGGTCTCACTGCACTTTGACAGTGCTGTTGGGTAATCAGTTGCTGCTGTTAGCCATTGCTGTTGTTGTTAGTTAGTCCGTTTGTTTATGTTTGCGCCTTAACTTAGCGCATGTGTGTACGTGTAAATGACTTTCTAAAATTGCCCAGGGAAGTGACGGTCTCTGTGACTGACTGCATGTGCAATAAATGATATTCACATAAAAACTGCGGAACAATAAACTTGCCAAAAAGTATAAAAACATAGACAAATTATAAACAAAAACTCCATACAAACAAAAATGGCAGGAAGGTAAACCTGTTTCATTAACAGAAATATATACATCAATTTTTTTAATTTCCTCAAGAAATGTCTAAAAAATGTATATTAATTAAAAAAAAAGCAACAAAAACAAACGCGAAAAGTGCCGAAAGTAAAATACTCTGGCAAATATGTATCATCTGCTCAATTAATTTATTTTACAATAATGAATAATGTGTTCACAGAACTTTTAAGCTGTCGGCTCATTTCTATATTATATTTAAGTTAGATGCGTATATACATATATATATATTTTGTCATCTTATCAGTCTCCGTGAATGTCACAAACTAAACCAATTCCCGCGAGAGTTAAAGAACCAGAGCAAGTGTTATAATTTGAGTTCTCACAATCAACGCACAAGGCGTTTCTTGTGTAACAGTTAAGATTAGTCACACAGCCATAAGAACAAAGAGACTTAACAATGCAGCGTTTATGTCTTTAAGTCATTAGCCCTCTTTAAAGCGAGCAAAACCCGCCAAGTGAGTTTGTAAGACAATTTGGCCAACACACACATTTTGGCAGCGTCTAATTGGGAAAGTGTTGCCGCTGACAACCACGACAACACCCACAAAAAAAAAAAAAAGAAAAACAACAACAACGACAGCAACACAAAGCAGCTCAAATGCCACACAATAAAGATGACAACAGACACAGTTGGTAGGCTTCTTGGGGCTCATTTATCAACGCCAACGTGAACGAAAGTTGACCCATTGTTAAGTTGTTGGCGGCGTGCAGCTTCTGCTGTTGCAGCAGCAGCAGCAGCAGCAGCAATAACTGCTGCTGTTTTTGGGTCAGCGTTTTGGCTAAGCGTTAATATGCATAAATCTTGGCTATGTGCAATCTATTCGCAAATACCATTGCTATTAGCTGGACACAGAAGGGGGATTGCTGCAGGGTGCAGGGGCAACACGGAGCGTACTCAATTGCATAACTGTGCGGCTGGCAACAGTTGCTGCTGTGTTTTTTTTTTTTGTTTTGCTTTTGCATATCGCGTTTGTTTGGCCGTGTTATACATAAATTTGCTCGAGATGCTGTTGTTTGTTTCTTGTTAATTGTTGGCATTTTTTCTTTCACTCATTTGCATTTGGTTGCGGCATCGATAGTCGATTTGTTTATGGCCCCAGACGAGGCTGCAGTTGTGCGCCAATTCTCAGCCAGCCGCTAACCAAGTGGAGGCCAACATTTGGCCGTATTTAGAGCAACGGTTCTCACACGATGTTGCCAGCCAGCTCATAATTCATAAGGGATCAAAAGTAGCACAAGTTCCTCGCCGGCTGACCAAAATGGTGCAAAAGTGAAACACATGGTGGTGCTCAGCGACGAGCAGCAGCAGAAAATTTGCAACAAATTGTGGCGCTATTTGACCATAAAAATGGCCAACAATTCAACTACAAAAGAGGAGCGCCAACAGACAACAAGCAACATCCGAGCAACAACAACTGGAAGCTATCTTTCAAGTTTAGCCATGGCACTCTCGCCATAAGGAATGCTGTTGCCAACGTTTTAGATTGGCCCAAGGAGAAGAGATATCAAGACGTTGCTGTCGCAGTTAAATGTAACACAAATAAATCTGCATAAATTTCATGCTCCAAGCTCACGGATCTAGCGCCCATAGCCATAGCCAGGACGGGTGTCAGCTCGTTAGCCATAAAGTCGAATTCGACTGGTACAAAAGTCGGTCAGCTGGGTTCCGCACCATTTAATTGATACCCGAGAATGCTCCGCCAATGCCATGAATACCAGGTATACCAGGTATTGGTATTTTCGACAGTTCCCCACATCAAACCCGTTTCGTGAAGCCAGGCCATTTCAATATTTTGCATGCGGCTCTTTGTATTTGCCTTAATCTGATCATTGGCATACAATACATTTTTGGTGCCGCTTGCAGGCAACAGAACAGTTAACTGACCGTCGCATCGTCTGCGACTGCCAATTGGGGCCAACAGGTTTAACCAACGGCAGCAGGTTCCTTCTTTTCTTTTGGCTGTTGCACTTGGGCAATTGCCGCTTTGGGGCTAATCTCCAGACTCTTAACGCATTTTACACGACAGAGTTGTGGAGAATGCTTGGAATTCGTTGTACACATGTGAATACAAACACAAACAGATATATCTGACTTCCAATAAACAAGTTTTGGTTTTGTCATAAAGAACAGACCAGAACAGATGTCTCGAATGTCGGATTCGTTGCAGTTGGGCTGTTGATTGAATCAAACAGCTGAGACACACATAATCGAATCAAATGCTCCATTAGCGCTCTACACGTGGGTCCAGCATCTAAAATGCCTATTAGTGTGCTCCATTTGAGTCAAAAGTCAAAGCCATAGATCAAGCTGCAACCTCAACCAATTCACAGCTCTACAAATTACCACAAAAAGATTCCCTTGAAGTCGGAAATCAAAAATGCGAGATGAGCGAAGAGATTTAAATAACATTTTGGTCTGAGATACGAGAGATGTGCGAGATGTGCGAGAAGTTTGTTCCACTTTAACACGTGAGATTTATGCGTGGCCGTGTCGACGGCTGCCGTTTGTTCTGCTGCCCATTTCCCATTTGCTCTGCTGTTTATTTATATGTTTATCGTTATGTAAATAGCGCACATAAGTGTATATACATAAGTACAAATGTATATATACACCTGCGATATGCATGCCAAAGTTCTGCTTTGGGAATTATGCAAAACGGAGTGGTGGGAGGGCCACAAAATTTATTTCTGTTCAGGTTATGCATAGCAAATTCAGTGTTTGACCTGGGCTAAGTATTTGAAGTTTATGGGCGATGACTGGTTCAATATTTGCGCCAAGGCATTTGCAAAACAAAATAATAATAAAACGAAAATCAAAAAATTCCTGAGCTTAAAGTGTTTTTATTTCGGGTTTGGCCGGCGAGCGAGCGGATGTTGTGGGCGCTGCTTTAAATGTCAACGTCTCTCGGTTTTGGCCATAAAAGGAAGCTGGCAATTAGAGGCAAAACAAAGCCAGTCTCGAGCCATGGAAATTGAGCTGGCTCTCGATTACTCTGATTAGAAATGTTCTCTCATGAATGAAGCCGAGCCACTTATTTGAAATTTACCTCGATTAGGCCACAAATGGCAATTGGCAATCAAATTCGCCGTTGTGGCAAAGTGCAAAGTTCTAGTTCGAAATTTGAAATTCTTCGTTAATAACGGCAATCAAATTGCCAATCGACATTTAAAATACAAATACATTTAAAAAGATATATATATATATATGCGTACTTTTGTGTGCTAAGCGATTTTATTTCTGAATGACTCATGGATAAGCACAGAAATATCTCAATTCGATTGAGCGGCATTCTTATGAATTTCGGATAAATTTTAATAATCAACCTACTTATTAAAGCAGCTTACAAAAGGTCGATTTTTAGCGCATTGTCTTAAATTGCCCATATAGTTCTTTGGCGATAGTTGAGAAACCATTTTCTGTAGTAGTTTTGTGATGGCTTTTTCTTTTTTGCATACATACACATATATCTATTCCACATACGTCTTCTATTATTCCCTCAATCACAAACCATCTGAAATGCAATTTCTAAGAGTAAATTAAGTCATAATTTGATGAATCATATATTTCCAACTGGCGGCTAATGGAATTAGAGAAGAGCTAATTGTATTTACTGAGCGTCTGCCAATTGGTTAACTCGAAACTCTACCCCCCAGGTGTAGCACGAATTGGCTTGCACAAAGAAAGGCGCTAAGTGCATATTAACCGAGAAACAGCAGGCGAAATATGATTTGAAGATAAATTAACAACAGCCATTTAATTTCCGAGTTGAACAGCCAGGAAGCCAAGTCTATACAATTAAACGCAAGCCAAAGATGCCATTAGCCAAATGGTACTTGTTTCTCGAGCTGCCCATTAGTTGGCCTTAGAGAACTCGAACTGGCCGGATGTTGAGGCAGGCGGCGGGATTTTGTCAACAGGTAACTCAACAAACTTGTGCGACCACAACAACTACAACAATAACAAGGGCAGCAACTTGAACAGAGCCGACAATTAAATTGTAAAGAAGTTTGTTTATCAACTTCAGTGGGATAGAGTGTATTGAAAGGGGA